AACTTAAGTCTGAAGTGTCGCTTGAGAACAATGGGAGCAAAGAAATCAATGCAACAAATGCATAAATGCTGATCAGTGTCAAATGGTAGTTACATCTTATCGCTTACTTCCTTATCACTTTCAGCCAATAGTGAAATAGCAAACAAAATTAGGCGGAATTGAAGTGTCACCTTCAGCCACAGGAATATCGGATAATGAGATGCGTCCCTGGCTTACATGGCGACTTGTTATTCCGTGTGAGCAAAAAGGCATCCAATGCCAACACATGCTTGTATCAAGAAGCACAAAGCAGATTCAAGCCCTTCTTATCTCATTCATTGTGGCTACAATGAGGCAGCAGCTCTTGAATTTAATATCATTTCGAAAATTTCCTTTCTAATTTAAACATATCTGCATTACTGAATGAAGAGTACGATTGCCAAGTTTTGTTTCTATGAGATGGGAAAATGCTCTTTGTAATTTCGCCTCTACTTGCCAATCCTTCATCTTCCTCAACACTATTTCAAATGGAATGACTTCTGCTTCTACTCCTAATATGACTAGGTCTTGCTGCCACCCTTTCTTCCATCATCTCCTGCATAGAATGCGATTGTGTATTTGGCCTTTCCATTCCTGCTATTTTAAGCCATAGTTATATAACAACGGCTGAAAACGAAATTAGCTAAAACATGTCAGACCCGCAGTCAATATCATGATGGTTTCCTTCACTTTTAAGACTATTGTGTTTTGCAAAGTGGCACCTCAGAGAACGAGAGGCACTATCCAAATGTTCAGTTGTCTGCAAACATCTTCCCATATCGCCAACTCGACGCGACGCTGGAAGTTGATATTTCACATGCGATTCACAAACGTTTCGACATATATTTCGGACAAAAAGATTCCTGCCGAACACAGTCGTGGGTGCATTGCCGCATGGCGCATGTTTCACTGCGGATAGAATATGGTCGGTAAGTGTTGGCCCGTTAAGGATTTAAGGTTTAGTTACATCAAAACGTCATCTTTACATATTTTGCGAAAAGTATGTTTTAACATGTGCACTCTAGTTCTTGCATGTGATGTCAACTTACGTCCAGGTGGAAGCATCATGCAGTGATCAGTCATCTCAAGCATTATGCTAGTCTTCCATGGATATTACGCTCGATCGCATTATATTCTCGTCTTCTCTAGCATGATCCTTGCGCATTGCAATGCTACTGCCTGAAATGCATACTTATTTTATGAAGCGCCAGTTCAAGCTCTACTAAGTTTTTAACAGACAGAGCAGCAGCCCGTCCACAATATAAAGCGTATGAGAGCCGGTATTTGGCTTTGCAGGCATAAGTAGCTGACGCTTATAGCTGAACTTACCCTGGCGGTGAGAAAAGAGACGCCGGAAGTAAGATTTGATAAGAGCAATAAAGACACCGTTGCCAAATGCTTAGAGAAGTCAAGCATAGCACATTATTATAAAACAATGGAATACGACAAGGTGTAGTAAGGAGAATTAAACAGCTTCTTTAACTAATGTACTACAATTAATTACCTTTTGAGCGTGCCCACGCTCGTGTGCTAGCTGGTAGTTCGCTGTGATATTAAAAGGAAAAGTAAAGAAAAGAAGATTAATTGAAACCCAGACCTCCTCCAAGTAATGTACACTAACCATTTGGCAAGCATGTGCTGTAGAGATCAAGTTAAATGACACTAACAAGACGCCGCTTTATTAAACGTTTAAGGAACAGCATGAGAAATAAGCGGAGTGGTGTTTCAGTTCTAAAAAACAATTTGTTGAAAGACATGCGTATATGAGGCCCGTGACACCCGATGTGGTCCCGGTAAGCATATCAGAGCCCTGTGATGTATGTGGCAAGTATTTGGTGAAAATGTGGAAGTACTTATTGCCATGTCATGAAAGGATACTGTGTAGTGCTCCGTGTAATCTCTAAATTCATAAGAAGTCACAGCAGTTCAGCAGGAGATGTATAGTAACATTCAGAATGACTGAGAGGCCACTGGTGTGTACCGAAAGCCATATGGCGGAGTAGATTTGCAGTCTGGAAGACTTATGTGTTCGCCTAATCAGTCTTAGAATTTAATTGCTTACCAATGCATTAATGAATGAATAAGTAAAAATTTTATTTTTTAAATGTTCCAAGAGATGTGAAGAAACAATGGGTTATTCAGGTAGTGCCAGCACGAAGAATTTGCTAAAGCAAAGTGTGGTTTACCAAAGAGAAGGAAAGTAAATCAATGAGAATAGAGGTCGTTACTCTGCAAATGCTTCACAGTTGTTAAGTCCATCGCTGAGTACAAAAGGAAGTGGACTGCAAAATTAAAGGCTTTTATGCATGATTGGATCAACGATTGCATATAATCACGAATAGTGCTATACGGTCGCCCCAACAATCACGATCTTTTTAAGTGGCAATCATTACCAAAGCTCTTGAAATCCATCTCATCTGCTCCAATTCTCAGCTGTATTTAACCAGCCTTTAGCAACACATCCAAAAAGACGGGCAGAAACTGAGCAACAGTAGTAGTGGCGATCTGGTAAATGTTGGCTCAGAGGAATGATTCCTCATTTCAGTCATTCATAGGTGCCAAATTTTGAATGCCTGGTATTTATGGCACCATTTCAAGATGTTTGAACCCAGCTGAACGGCCTTCTTAGAAAATCTTCTCACTTATTTGGTCAAGTTGCGAGACCGCATATCTCTGGTTAAAGGCTATACTTGGTCGAGCCATATGCTCTCAAATCCACCAACTGACCAACCAGAGACGATGATTATTATGAAGGCCCAGATAGGATGCGATTGCGAGTTATAAAACTCAAGATTTTTCACTTTTATTCACCAAGCCCCTGCCCTTTTTGAGCTTATTTTCAATTTGCCTATCCATCAATTCTATTTAGAAGGTTTAGTCACTTCAAGGAAAATGTTAGTATTTTCACGTTTACGAATTTGTCTGCTTATCTATTTATTCAACAACACCTCGCATGGCAGTTGTCCTCTCAGGTACCTATTAAGTACCCCAGATTTCGAAAGTTGGAGGCATTAATTAGCTTTATTAGATGGACAATATGCAGATCCCTTCTAGGGAGTTACAAGATTCATTAGCTGACCATTTCCAGTGCCTCATTCTCGAATCCGTTCATTCTTGTGGCCTCAGATCTGTTCTCTCATTTTAAATCCACCAACCTACAGTCAGATTTAAGTGGCCTCTAGTGATCCAATTATAAAGAGTTGTTAGTTGTCAAAGGGAAATGTTAGGCCAATTTATCCATTCTGCATGGTGGAATATAGACAGGATCACCAAGGCCTACCATAGGAGAAGTCATGTGACCAACTGCAAACTCTAACCGACCTTCCTAAGGTCTTACACTTCGATTCAGACTAGAGTAGCAGGATTTCTTATAAGCATACAAGTTAAACCATCACCTTCTAGAGAGCAGGCCGTAGTGTCTAGTCGCTCACAGGCGACCCATGCATCATGAGTCAGCATGGATGCCACCACTACTTCCAGACGTGCTTGGACCGGAATGCGGTCTTCTGAATCCTAGTGAA